GACTGAAACATGAGGCGGCCTGGTGCAGCACGTTCGGTTGCCTGAGAACATCATAAACGAGAGATTCAGCTGGGTTCCAGGTGAGTCTCTCGAAAGAACCGAATTAGTTTGCAGATGAGTGTATAATCGCTAATTTCCGAGACCTGGTTACAACTTCCTTACTGTCCAGCACCAGAGGCTGCGTTGGCTGGAACATGTGTTGCGCACGCCGAACCATAGTTTGTCGAAAAGAGTGCTTTTTTGCCAAATCCAGAGTGGCGGAAGCAGACTGGTGACCAACCCTTGACCTGGCAGAAGGGTAGTAAGGAGATTACGAAACGTTTGACGGTGCTATTCGTCTTCCAGGATGAGGACTGTGTGATCACCACTGCGCCTGGTTGGAGACGCTGCAAGAAATGACTGCAAGCTGATACCAGTGGCTATCCTGTTGTCACTTTCTATCCAGATTGCCTGAATGAGTATCTGGAGGTGTAGGCACTTCGGAATGACTGTAGTAAGGTAGCACTAAGTCCTTTCCCCATCCATCTTTATTCTTTTCTTCACAAAAGAATCATGGTTGTACGGCAGCAAAATATCATTGTTGAACACTGATGTCACGCTGTCGATGATGATGATGATGATGATGATGATGATGATGATGATGATGATGATGATGATGATGATGATGATGATGACGGTCATGATGATGATGGTGGCAGGCTGCGAATCGATCATCAGCTAAGCTGTGAACTATACTCACCGTGAAACGTCCCCTTAGCAAGGTTGCAAAACCATCTGAGTGAACAATCCGAAATATTCTGATGGACAGTTCGCGCTTTCTTCTAATTTTGGTTACCACCCTCCACGGGAACAAAATCCATCTGCGTATAGCAGTACAATGCTTTTCAACCTTCTAGTAGAGGTTGTGAAGCACTCATGGTGAAACCGATGAAAAATAATCTCTGCACTTCGGAAGTTCACCTGGACCAAGTGAAATAGGGAATTGGGTGAACAAAGATTTCGCACTTTTCGAATGAGAGGCTCATTCAATACATGCTAGATGGGAATCTCTTCCCAATCTCTTAAACTCCGAGTCTTGTCACTCCACTGAGCAGAGGTTTGTCGAAACTGCTTTAGCAGGGAAAGGTTTAAGAATACGGCGGTGAGGAGAGCATCTGGCCGATAGGCGAAATGTGCTCGTAGTTTTTTCGATTGTGTTTGCGTTTTAGTTTGTGGAAGATGCATAGACAATTCTCAATGCACGTCAATTTTCGGCTTTACTGAATTCCTGGTTCTAGTATGAGCACCTCCTCTCTGCTGGTTCATGTGACCGTTTTGGTTAAAGTTAAAGGCCAATGAAGGTTTTGTTCTGTAAGTGAAATCCATGTTATGCTGAAAAGCAGAGAAGCACCGAGAAGCATTAAAGTGCGAGCTAATCACACTACTGATTCGCCGCTCGTGGCCGAAAGGAGGCCACGGGTTCGATGGGGTTTGGTGAGGCGCCACTGCTGATGATTCCCAATAAGAATGAAATAACTGTACAGTCCCTCACGGCTTTCCAGCATGGATTGGTTTCACTTACAAAGTCATAAGTCAACGTGATGCGGATGATGAATATTTTCATAAAGGTTGCTGAAAACTCTTCGACAGCAACCTTGTGTGTAGTTTCCTCTATAAAAATATACTGCGATATCTCGAAATCCGTGCCAACTGAAACATGAGGCGGCCTTTGTGCAGCACATTGAGTTGTAGAATATCATAAACGAGAGATTCAGTTGAGTCTCTCGTGAAAACCAAATTGATTTGCAAATGAGTGTATTTCTCGGATGATGAATACTTCATATCCACCGTTGCCAGTTCAACAAACACAAAACTTGCATGGATCTGCTGCTGGCGCCACTCAAACGTCCAACTCACCTGTGCCTTTGGGAATAAGAAATTGCATAAATCTTCGGCAGCAGACCGGAACCCCCATACCGCGCTACTTCGTCTCCATCTGTTGTGAAACAAACAATTTCTGCCCGCTCTCTGTTTGCTGCACACACTTGTTCCAGTGCGTTCGCTTCCGGTGGAATCATGGTCAAACTGTGTACAATCACGCTGACATCGTCACTCTCCACGTCTTGAGTTTCTTCATGAAGTTGAAGGCGGTACCGTGGTGGTAGTGTACGAACCGTTGAAGAACGACCGGGTGTTTTGTGTTCCAAAGTAGACCAATCAGAAAGGTAAGTGCCGTTGGCAGCAAACTTTACAATACGCGAATTGCAATACCCGTCTGCAATGAAGATTTCACCCTGGAAATCAGAGAAGCAGGACGGAGTCATGAAGAGGAAGAGCGAGAGGCTTACCATATCGTTCGGGTCTAAGAGAAAGGACTTTTAACAGGGTTGTGTTGATTGATTGAGAAGAACCTTTGGCTATTGTGCAACAATGAAAAAGATTATAAATTTCATCACATGACACAGCAGCTTCGGGTTGTGTTGATTGACTGAGAAGAACCTTTGGCCATTGTGCAACAATGAAAAAGGTCATAAATTTCATCACATGACACAGCAGCTTCGAATGGATGTGTCGTTTCGAGTTTCCCTTTTTAAAGTTCATGTGACAGAGTGATGGAAAACATAAGCGGGCACGAGACGGAATGGCATAATTGATTATAATCCTGCTAGAATGATGAGCTGTAACAGTAACAGCCGCCATTATACGTGACAGCGAGTTAAAGTTGGACCGTTAAACTACGTGAGTGATTCTGAAACATGACAGAAAGGGACATCCGTGACTAGCCATTAACTATAGAATGCATGCACAAACTGACCTGCTTGTTTTTTTAACGTTAGGAGGTCAGTTTGATTCCTCCAGAGCAACAGACATGCTAGACTTGATTGAAAGACTTTCTGTTAGTAGTATTAGTAGTCTTCCAGTTGTAACACACTTCCAGTGCCCAACTTCCACGCCACCCGAGGGAAGCACGAGGGCTGGGATACTGCCAGGTTGCCCAGGGGAAGTCGAGGGGCAGAGGTCCGGTTCGAATCACGGACCTTCCGGTCAGTTAACTTCCGCCCTAGCCACCGAACCACTGATGATAACTTGTTTTTACAAATCTCATTTGAAATAGGCTGTCCTAATTCGTTGATAGATTCCAGACTCCAAACTTTGCTTAAGACGCCAAATAGAACGATGTTCCTCTTGAACTTTCAGTCACATACTAAACAATCGCAGTTCGATTTTGAAGTAACCTAGTGGGCCTTCAAAAACCTAACGGCTGCACGTCGGGAGTTTTACAATTCACGTTGTTCCCAGCAACTAAAACCATGGATCATTGTTGGTGCTCTACACTGTGATTTAATACGTGGCAGTAAAGTAGGTAATATATGGAAACAAACTTACCAAACTGGAGACATCTACATCGGCGGGCTGACAAAAGTGCCTGGGCGAAGAACCAGGCTCAAAAGCTGTTCCCCAAACTATTGCCGGTTGGTCCCACTGACCCCAGTTGAACTTAAAAACTTGGTGAAGTGCCACGTCGGTGATAAATACAGCCTCTGGCGCTCCGGATTCTGTATTATGAATTACTCGAATCCCATGGGGTAAAACGAAGTGATTAGCACCCCAGGTGTGTTTTACATGCATGGTAATTGGATCCAGATGCACGACTGGATCACTGGTCACGTAGGCATTTTTGTGGCGGTACCGGTATCGGTCATCAAAAGACTGACTGTTCCACCTATTTTCACATCGATGTAGTAGGAGCAACTCGTGACCATCTTCAACGTTTGCGGTTGCGACTGCAGATAACTGGAGAAGTGAAATTAGAAAACAGAGGAGAGTACGTTTATTTACATCTGCGAAAATGGGCGAATAATCTGCGCTTTATTCGTTACCGCAATCGTGCAACCAATTACAGCTATGGTTGTTATAACAGCCACTTATTTCAGAACTTCGAGCGTCCTAGGAGGTTGGATGAATTAAGCTGTCGTCAATACGTACTGGCATAAAACAAACAAGAATGTGATGGCGTGTCTCTAGAAAAAAGTACCATACACGGGAAAGAAAAGTTAAACCAAAATAACATGGAATTTTTCCATATTACGTTTCAGTTGTGCTATTTTGAAACGATGTGTTCCTCCCAATTCACTCTATTAACTCCGTACAGCGCTCTAGTACAACCTAGCTTGGTAGTTCGCGGTTCCCAGTTTTGTACGGTTACAAAATCATATTTGAAGTCACGTACCTCTGGAATTCCTTATGCGAAATGGCACACTTCCAGAGTTCCGCATCAGTTTGAGACAAGGAAGAAAGCCTGATCATTTCAAAATCAGTGCTAGGTAGCAGAAACTCTACTCCTGCTGAACTGTGAGNAACTTTTTGATTTTCGAGTTATCAACTTCTGTTGTCTGGTAAATACAATCAGTGTAATAACACCGTATTAACGTGCGAACTACAGTCTTCAATGCGATTCGATAGGTTATTGTTCACTTGTGCTACATGGCCTTTGAAACCACAATCAAGCGTTCAAATTAAGTTCTTCGCAGTGGACTCAACGGAACCCATGTCTACTTGTTAGGTCAAACGTGAATGAGAATGTTCGAACGTCTATGTGTGTAGAGGCTGTTATTGGAAGTGGACTGTTAGAATGAACATGTATGGACATGTACAGAGAAAGTGGATGGACGGATCAAGATGGACATACGAACTGACCGAGGTCATCTCGTCATTTGGCATGCGCTTTGCACCTATGGCGTGCTTGTGGAATTGCAGTCACTGGACACGCCACATACAATCCAGGGAAAGACATTCGAAGTTGTGCAGCATTATACGTATCAGTTTCGATTGAAGTGTGGCAGACGAGGCCGATGCATGAATCTGCAAGGCTCGTGTCGCGTCTGCTAATATGAGACGTCTATGGCGTCAAATCAGTGTATTTCTGATTCCCAAGGGATGTGTGCATCAAGCTGCGTTGTTGTACGCCTGAGACTTGGCCTGTTTGAGCAGCGGAACTGAGAGTTCTTCAGGTCTCCAACAACCTTTGTCTCAGAATCATAGCGCGTGTGGTTTGATGTCGGCGAATCCGCAACGAGGTAATTAGAAAGCAGAAATCCGGTTGTGCAACGAGGACTTCCGTCGAAGAAGCTGCGTCGATCATGCCATATATTGTGCATAACGAACCATTGTTTGCTGAGGAGCATGTTTTCCGTGTCTAATTCAGAGTGGCGGAATCAGAGAGATAGGCGATCTTTGACGTGGCTGGGGGTTACGAAGGAGATTACGAAACATCTGGGTATTGTCGATGCGAATCGCCCTTCAGGGTAAGGACCGCGTGATCTCCACTGTGTCTGGTCGGAGACGTTGCAAGATATAGCTACTAAAGATGTCATTGGCGTTCTGGTTGTTAGATACTATCCAGATAGCATGAATGAGTATCTGGAGGTGTAGGCACCTTGAAATGATTGCGTTAGGCTAGTACTAAGTCCCTTTCCAGTTCACTTCTATTCTTTTCTTTACAATAAGGCTCTCAAATAAATCATGTTTATAGCGCAACGAAGCATTAATGTTGAACACTGATGTCACGCTGTCAATGATGATGATGACAATGGTGGTGACGATCTGGGGTGTTAGAGTATTCGTAACTGAAGCTTGTCATTCGTCCGGGTCATTCTACATGAAATGCTGCGCTATACACTTCGCATATACTGCTTTTGTGATGTCGGGGCGGTGGATTTCTCAGCGAGACATCGATCTGTTGTTAGTTCGAAAGCAGATATCAGGGGTACGGTGGTTACCTCCTAAGGCCACCCGTTTACCATAAATGACCGTGTCCGGTCTTAGGAACGTCCAAGCAGCTAGGGTCAGATGAGCAAATTAGGCCAACCAGACTGGCCAGTTCTCTTTTACGCTTAGAGAAGTCCAAGCACAATTTTTCTCACGTTTTCAAGCGAATATACTACATGTGGTGTGGACTGAAAGGGTCAAATTCGTCCGTACGTTATGATTACACACCACATGGCACCCAAGCTCTTCCATCTTAACAGGCCAGGATGCTTGACGGCTTTGTCTCTTATTTTGGTGTACCCGCAGGGTCAAAGTAGCCACAGAGTCCACGCAACATGCTGCACTTTGAGATGTAGACAGAGAAGGGCGTTGAGAGGGACCTTTCCGGTTATTATTACATTCGAAACAATTGGGACTCTACTGGAAAGTACACTGACTACATTCCAAAGGGGAAGTCCCATTGGGAGGGACTGAGCAATGGATGGCAAGGAACATGTAGTCTAAAAAAAGGTTGACTGCAGAATAGCCTCAGATTTCGATTGGAATTCGGAACTTTATTGAATGCTCAATTCACGGTTTCTGTTGTTGGCTTATTGATCAAGCAGGGGATATGAGCTCAAGACTGTTCTGAACCTAAAGTGAAGGCAATTTTATTTTTAGCTGAACACGTAGCCGGAAAACAGGGAGCTGATAGTTTGCCTGGATTATGAAATAGATACTTGCGAGGTTGCCCAATTAATAAAGATTTCAGGCGCGAAGGGGGGTCAGTGAATTAGGTGAGGGGTTTCTTGAGGGGGAATCAAGATAAAAATGGTAAGATAGGCCTGCTAACGATGTACACAGAGGCCGGAATGTTGGAGCTCTGGGAACCAATCCAATGGAACATTTACGCACGAACTGTATCACTGGGAAATTCGAATTAATGCTTGTTGAGTAACGGGTGCTTTTAGTCGGGCACCAAGGGTCACCTCTATCGGAGGAGCCGAATAGGATAATCTTCGGATTAGACTTTGGATTGAAAAACAACAGTCCATTTCGTGGTGTTCACTGACAAGTATGCTCGCATGGACTAGCGGAACACCGAGCTAAATTAAGTTGATTCTATATAGGAGAAAGAATACTGGTGTAACAGTGGATACTACTGATGGGGGGCATGCGAGCAGTATGTCTTCTCGTAAATCCGCTTCACGTCTCTTACAAAGTGGAGTCGCATTTGCTTGCACTTGAACAACAGTCAGGAATACCCAGGAAAGTTCAGGAAGACGCGTTCAATGAGAAGATGGATATACAGTGTCTGTAAACAAGATGCATATGAGGGTTTTCCTTCCCTGTCCAATAGTCTGTAACTGTTCACTTGACGTTTTCTAATAAATAACTCCGCAGCGAAGGCCTTCCTTTCACTGGTAGTTGATTTTGTATAGATGGTTGTGGTAGCTAACCTGGATAAGCGCAAGGCGGTGAATTCCTACACACCGACGCAGGCGAGACAATTACGAATTGACGATTCTACGTCGGTTGGTGACAAAACAATTGCAACCAAACTGCCTTGAATACAAAGTCAGCCACTGACCTGACTCTATCCACTGGAAATTGTCCCCCTTAACTAGTAAAGTGATCCTTTGCATTAATTCCCGATTCAAAAGCCAATCACTGAAAAATTAGTAATAAAACCGCTTCCGTTGACAAAACCTAGTTAGGAGTGGCAGGGACGGTAACCTGGCCGTTACTCTTGTGGTGGTGTACTTTTGTGAATCAAGCCCGTTACATGTGAGAACAAATCACTGAAATGTACATGGGGAGCGGAAAAGTACGTTTTCCTTTTTTCAGCACTGGTGATGAATCATACCATACTGGTTATCCGAGTGGACCTTCCACACCAATACAGAAGGGGTCAAAGTAGTACCAGTACGGCTTTCAAAGTGTTGAATTCAGTTGATTCAAGGGAGCGTAATTTGCACGTAATGGTTAGTATGGTTAAAGAGCCATTATTTTAGTGCGTCCCTTTCACTGCAAACTAGAGTGGGTTATCACGTCGTGAAAAGAGCATTGCTTAGATGAACCAGGTTTATAGTTGACCTCACTCAAGTAACCGGTGAACAAATATTATTATGTGTATCTTCCCGTGGCGGACTTCTCTAAAACACGGGTGAATTTGTCCCCAGACACTCAAACAGCACTCATTTCCTAGTGTTCTCATTTGCTCCTTGTTCAGTCTAATGTGAGAAATGCTGGTCATACTAGACCAAGAACTAGAGACTATTGCAAGGCTTCTAATCTCTGGGACACACAGACTCCGATCTACGAAAACTATGGTGCCTAGCCTACCCACCGCGGGCAACTATATACAAGCCAACTGATCATAGACTTTGTAATGCACTACTCATAAGGTTGCTGAAAATCCGTCGACAGCCCACGACCGGTTTCGGCCTTCTTGGGGCTCATCAGGTAGGCGCAGTCCCCGGGTTTCCGTCAACCTTATGTTCTACTTGAAACCAAATTGCACGAAATTAGCGAATATACACTCATTTGCAAACTAATTTGGTTCTTTCGAGAGACCCACCTGAGAACATCAAAAAATCGAGAGATTCAGCTGGGTTCCAGGTGAGTCTCTCGAAAGAACCAACTACATACAAGCCAACTGATCACAGACTTCTTTATCGCAAGCCACATGATTTCCGGAGAAGCCGATCATAGAATGCTTTGTACTAGAATAGAAAGAAAAGTTGCCCGGTGGGTTTGAAGCGTCTGTGACGCTACCTGACTGGCGGGTCAATCGATCGTCACAACTAGGACAGCTACTGAGTCGTCGTTCGATGGGTCGGGCACCCAAATCACATCGCTCAAGCGTGAACACGTTCGCCAACTCAGGCGTGAAAATTTACATGCGTCCAACGTAAGTCGGTGGCGTGCCAGTAACACGCTCGCCTCACATGTCAGATGTCCGGGGTTCAAATCCAGGCACAGCCGTTGAATATGCACTGATGATGAGCTCTAATAAGAGCGAAACTCGATTTCAGTGCTTCCCT